CCCAGTTGGGAGAAGGTAGGAAATTTTTGAAATTCGCCCCACCCATTCCGCAACCTTTATGGCGTCCATTAGATGGATCCTACCATTCTTTCAAATACATGGAAGTAAGGCATGACTCCTTATATTTATTACAAATAAATAAATTAAATTGGTGTAGTAGACTTATGACTTGGTGCGCGCTTCCTCATACATTGTAAGCATGTGGATAGCCACCACATGGCACTTTTTTGCCTTATAACATATACATTTGGAGTTTCGAACGATAGTGCATGCAACTGCACTACTCGTGCATCATGGGTGCTGGGGGGGAAGCCCCATGACTACCAACGCACGCCCAATGGTGCCCCTAGGGGGAACACCCCCCCAGAGTCACCACCCCCCCCCCTCAAAGAGTACGTTAAGCTTTTGGGGCTCTGCCAAGAGGAAACATCACTTTTTTGAAAATTCAAGGACAGGGGCAAGAGCCCCTCTCGCCCGTTTCCAACACGAATGCCGAGGCCGAAGCAGAGGCCTCTAGATAGTTGGATCCTCCACGTCACCCCTCAGAGAGAGGAGCGAAGATCAAGTCGATGCCACCGCAAGCAACGCCAAGTTCATCTCCAATAAGCTAAAGCTGAGGCCGAGGCCCTCGATAAAGGAAGCTCCTTGATGCTCCCCACTAAAGGCGAGGTACTTTCCTTAGGCAAAGTCGAAACCCTCATCAAGAAGGCCTAACGGCGCCTCCCAGCACAAGCAACGCACTCTCTTTGGCCGAAGTCGAGGTCCTCAACTCAGACCTCAACCACGGCCTCAAGAGTGGGGGGCAAATGATGTAGGTGCACATGACCTTGACCAATAACACGCTCGCATGTGTCTGGCGGCGGCACCCAGAGCGTACCCTATAGGGGCACACGCAGAACAGAGGTCGGTGTGCAATTTGGAACCAGTGGCGAGGTCGCATGCGGCGACGGCGGATGGATGCGCTCCTCAAGAAAGGACCACATCTTGAATGTTCGAGCCTACCTACCTCTAGGCGGCCTCAAGTCTAAATAGGGAGCAATCCCCTCAAGGTAAACATCTGGAATCTAGACTCAAGACTACCTAGAACTCTCCAATTTCCCTTGTGGCCTCGTCTGAGTGTTCCCACCTCAGGCCTCATCCTCCTTGTGTTACACCCACACTAACTTGACCATTGGAGTTTCCGCCTCGGGTATCAACCCAAGGTCTCTGGCGTTCTCTCTCCTTTGCTCCTCACAAGACCAGCCTACAAGCCCTCGGACCACTCAGCCACTGCTCAGCTCAAAAGAAAATTGATAGTGTTGCCCTCAGCCCATTCTAGGCAACAACAAGATGAAATACTTTTCGGATAACTTTGGATTTAGGGAAAACTTTTGGATGATTTGGAAAGGATTTTTGGATGATTTGGATGAATGAAAATTGGCCATAAGCTTGAGCTCAAGGTTGTATTGGCCATCATCAATAAGGTGTTGGATAACATATTTCAATTTCCAGCATTCATTGATGTCATGTCCTGGTCCTTGATGGTAGGCAAAGTAAGGCTTTTGGTTGAAACTCATTGGATTTATAGGAGGTGATGAGGGGTAATTTGGTTCTCCAAATAACATCATGACATGTTGTCATGGGGTAGTTCTACAGCGGAAGAAACCCGTGCGGCGTTCAGGCCAACGAAGGCCAGGACAAGCCTTTGTGTGCTTAGAGGCTAGGAGTTGCTTGATGAGATGGCTCCACCAAGGTCAGTAGCACTGGATCATATGACCTCAAGTCGCATGGTCGGGGCACTCGGATGGCTCAGACCGGTCCACGAGAGGCGCCGCTTACATGCTAAAGGGGGATGACCATAATGCAAGGTGACTGTGCGCCGAATACATGACTTGGCACCGATGTGATGGGTCTCCTGTATGCCGATGATGATGGGCACCTGTGTGCCATGATGATAGGCAACCGCTGGGCCGAAACACACACGTGCGCTAGGGGCAACGGGATAGCTCAATCAGCTTGGGAAAGGGGCTGGCAAGGTGAAGGGTCATGCTTGAGCCAGGCCCGCATGCCAAGCCTCCCTTGAGTGTCGACAATGCAGTGCCGGTCCATGCACTGTTCCCATGAGCATGTGTTGCCCATGAGGAACCCTGGTAGCCATGCTAGCCGTTAACCAAGGCCGCCCCGCAAGGGGATGAAGGTCTAGGAGTGCCAAGGTTAGGCACCCAAGGAGGTCGACCACCCCTCCTCAAAGAGTACGTTAAGCTTTTGGTGGTCTGCCTGAAGATAACATCAATTCTCCCGAAAATCTTATAGGCAAAAATGACGGTGATGTCCCTTAACGTAAGCCTGCTAAGTGTAGGCAAGGCTAAGCCTATGTCAGACCGTAACAGGCTCCCCCACTCAATCCATTGTCGACATCGACAATGGTCTTCTCGTGAACAGGCGTTTGTGTCCCGCACCATCCACTTCCTTGCCAGTTCCAGGTCTCGTCTGGCTAGCCCGGGTCTTGCCTATGTTGGTGTCCATTTATGGGGACAAAACCATTTCACCATGCCGGCCTGCCTGGACTTCACCCCATGTGTTGAGGTTACTCAACCCGCGCAATGGCTATGCTGTTGAACTGTGAAAGAAGGGCCCTCGAAGAAATTATGTGTGGTGCTTGCGGAGGTCCGCCCCATGTATCATCTTACCTCAAGGCTTGATAGCTAAAATTATAACCCTAGCAAGTGCACTAGTTATCAAGTAGTATAAAGATATCATTCACACAAGGATTTAACAAAATAAGTATTAGAATTACAGCCTTCCTTAATTATTTGGACAACCGAAATTCAGATCCAAAAATAAGAACTACTGAAAATTAAAAATAGAAAAAGAAAATAAAAGCAAGGGTAATCAATAACTGAATATGCAACGATTAACTGAAATCATTAGGACCATTGGTCCGCCTAACCATTCCAATGAATATTAATGGATGAGATTAACCAAGATAATTTATCATTTCCATAAGCTGAAGTTTTTCCAAATTTATTTAATATTCTTTCCCAAGATATATCAAATCTATTTCTATCAAGTAACCCTTTGATCTCTTGACTAGAGTTCTCAAGATAG